CCAAACGCGTTTGGTGTGTACCCGGCTTTAGAGAGAGGCTTTTATACCAGAACACAGCCGCTGTGACGAAACTGTGCAGAAGACACGTCACAGAGGAGAGCCGTTAACCAATATGCAAATTAGCAAAAACACGTTTTTAGACCAAATATTACAGATTTGAACAAATACACACAAAAACATCAAAATTAGCACAGAAACAGTACTATATAACATTTTAGACATATTCTAGACAGTTTATCAGCTAAAAAAAGTTAATTTTGGGGTAAGTTACTCTTTAAATGAAATATATCTATTGTTCTCAATAATTGTGATTACATGAAAAATATCATAGTAAATAAAAATGTTATAAACAAAAAGGCCCCACACTGAAACCAGGAAAAAGCTGTCAACATGTTCACTTGTGTTCTCTCCTTTTTAAACCTACGATTTAAACCTATAAAACCCTCATTTTAAAGTGGTACATTATCATATTTAGGCAGCAAATGTAATAGTATTTTTCTGTTTAAGATATAAGCCAATAAATTGTGTGATCTTTAAAAATTTAGCTTTTATTTCATGAAAGTGTGGTATTTTTTGCTCAAGACAGTACCTAAAAAGTTGTTCGCTTGTCAGTCTGATTAAAGTTAGTCAATATTTTTCCAATGTGAGGTCCTTCAAAGAGCCATCTACAGCAGGTAAGATATTTACTGTTCGCAATCTTTCCACAGAACCCAAGTACAAAATAAATGAACTATCCCTCTAAAGAGTCGAGATTTAGTCTAGTGGGCAGATTTAAATCCAGCTCTAAGTCTTTTTATTTTATCTTGTCTTGTTTTTGTTTTCTTCCACCTCCCAGAGAAAATGACTAGTCCTCTGTGGCTAAATGCTACTTTGTGTTTGCTTCTGATGACTGCCTGTGTCAGCACCGTGGTTCTGGGAACGTTGTGTTCAGTCGGAGCTTTAGGAACAGGAGCCTGCTGTGGATGAAAAACAAAACCTGGAAAGGTTTTCAGTGACGATAAAAAGAAAATGGTCAAACCTACAACAGTCGCCTTCTGCCAAAAGTTGAAAGGCAGTAAGAGTGATTTGGCCTGTGTGTTTGTCATGTTAGCAAAATGTCTCATGAACCGTCGCACAGCTTTTAATGAAACTCTTATTGGATCTACATCGACTACAAAGAGAAATAGGGAGTCAACCTGATTCCAGATGGCCTCCACAAATAATCGACCTCAGCAACTGTCAATTTACAGATTTTGAGCTAAAATCTAGTGTAGTACTGTAGTAGCTGAGAGTCATTTACAAAACACACACTGATATACTCGTTGATAGAACTACTGAAGTCAATCCTGTTTGTCTGTTAGCAAAATATCTTATGAACCACGAGATGGATTTTCATAATTTTTTTTACTCTCAACTTAAAACATGAACAACTTAAAACTTTGTCGATAACTGTTAAAGAGGCAATGCTGCCTATCTGTTAGCAAAATATCTCATGAACCACTGGGTAGAATTTAATGAAAGTCTCATTGAACAATCATAAACTGAACTGATTCACGTTTGGAGCTAAACCAGTTTAAGATGACCACCACAGCCAACTACCCTTAGAAAACATACACATAWCTGCAACTCAGTTAATTTTACAGACACTGAGGTAAGATTTGTGGTGGTAGTAGATGAGAGTCATGCCTAATCCAAACAAACTTTGGTCATGCACAATCTTGCTTTCATGGGTTGACCAAAATGAGGTTATGACTGTGTCATTTCTCCACATAAGATGTGTTTAGGTTGAAGCTCAGTGGAGGGTGATATGCATTACTTCTAAAGCTTTATGGATAAACTSTCTTTGCTGTAATTAAAGGACTTCAGTGTCATCCCCGCTCTGCACAGAAACATTGTCACACTGCGTGTCTCACCAGCTCTGCTGTGCAGATTCCCTCCAACATTTGAGTCGGCCTCATGCTGAGGATTAAACTCTCCGCTGTGATCATCTTCCTGCTCTTCCTCTTCATTCCCAGGCAGCCCGTCATCATCATCATCATCATCATCATCATCATCATCATCATCATCATCATCCTCCTCCGGATCAAACCCGGACACATCAGTGGAGGTCTTCCCTCCTGCTCTGGATCTCCTGCTCCATCCACAGCTGGGGTCCGCAGTCATCTTTTCCTCTGCAGCGGCGGTTCCTTCAGTTGTGTCGTGTCGGGCTTTGAGGTCAGGGAGGAGGTGGTTAGACCTTGAGGATTTTCTGATTTCGTCATCCCGCCGCCCGCTGATGGACGCCTCTGAGTGAACGACGGTGAGGTGCTCCTTGAGTCGGGTCCGACTCGTGGTCTGGAAGGCACAGTGGCCGCACGCCAGGGAGCCGGAGGCCAGGCTCGAGACTTTGTTCCTGTTGTGAGTCTTGGAGTGGTTTGCCAGGGCCTGGGACGTTTTTGTGCTGAAGTTGCACTCGGTGCAGACGAAGCGGCGGCGATAGCCTGAGGCGGTCCGTGCCTGAGCCGGACTTCGATCTGAACTCAGAGGAATCACATCCAAATCTATGACTGTTGAATCTGTGTCCTGCGCTGTAASTGAAGCGGGGGATAAAGGTGGCGTGCCCCCTGTTTCAGGCCCCGACGTTTCACCCAGATTGGGTTGTGCGGCGGTCGGGTCAGAACATGGATGATGGATCTGGGTGTCTTGCATCTTTTCCTTTTCGTTCAGTTTCTCAATCTCCTCCAGGATCTTCAGTCTGGACTCCTGGTGCTTTCTGTGGTGGTCCATCAGGGCGAGGCGGGTGGGCAGGGTCCAGCCACACTCGCTGCACTGCAAACGGCTGCCCTTTCCCGAGCGCCTGCCTCCCTCCGCTACCCCCTGACAGTGCTCCGTCATGTGCTCCTGCAGGTGGACCTGCTTTTTAAAGTAAATGCTACACTCCACGCAGGTGAAGATTTTGGTCCTGGACTCCTCCCTACCCTCCTCTTCCTCAGCGCTTTCGCTCGTCTTCTTCGCCGCGCTCCCCTCGGCTTCCTCTAAATCACAGACCTCGGGACTCAGAGGTGCCGCCTCAGCAGTGTTCGTTGTCGGAGGTCCCGGCGTTGTCGACTTGCCAGCCTCTGGTGATGTGCGCCTCGGCGTGCCGAACCCAGAGAAGGGCCTGAGAAGCACCCTCTTCTTTCTGCACCGCTGGATAAAAGTGCAATGAGCCCAGGGAGCAGGAGGGGGACTCTCAGGGTCTGAGTCTCCAGGGAAGGTGTAAACATCTCTTTCGAGCTCCTTACATTCTTTTCCCTTGGCTCTCGTCACCTCTCCCTCGCTACCATCAACCTCCTCCTCCATTTGGCAACCTTCCTTTGGTTTTATTTTGGACAGAAAAGCTTCAGATACGTTCCAGCTTTTGCCTTCTGCCGCTGGGAAGAAAGCAGGAGGACTCAGAGATAAAAAAGAAAGATATCAAATGTGAGRGCAGATTTAGTTCCTTACTTGTGGTACTTACATTCCTTTTGGCCGAGCTCACATGTATTTGGCTCCTCTGTCTTTGTGCTCTCATTCTTGTCGCTGTTCCCTTCCTCAGGGGTATCTGCATGGAAGTGCTGCAGTTTCTCACATTCTGGATCATCTTCACTATCAGGCCTGTGGGAGAGGAAAAAATTACATATTCTTCATCAAAACAGAAACTGCATCTAGAGGTCAAAGATGAAGTCTCTTTTCAGGTCTGAAGCTAGCACCTTAAACCGTCTTTCAGATAAATTTATAAAGTGTATGCAAACTCGTAGTATTTTTAAAAACATACAAAACAGAATTGATTTGGGACAGAACAAGTGCCTTTTTACTTTAAGTTTGACCACTTTAAGATAGTTATTAGGGTTGGATAAACAGGGTTGCCACAGTGTGGTGTGGTCAAGGGGGCAATAGCAACCCTTAAAGAATTGGTGGCCCCCACTTGGTTGTGTGTGTGTATGTGTCATATATGTAGATACAAACACACACACACACACACACACACACACACACACACACACACACACACACACACACAC